GGCGGGAGCCAATGACCTCTGGTGGCTGCAGAGGGGAGCGCTCCGGCTTGCTGCTCCAGAGCCCAGGCTCTTGGTCCAGCACTGGGGACCCAAATGCCTGAGACTCTGTCCCACTGTGCCCCAGCGTCCTCCAGAATCCACTTGTCCTCCTCAGATCCTGCCCTCAAAGGCTGTGGCGCTGTGTCTGCACCGATGCAGATGTCAGCGGCCATTCACTTTAATTGCATGGCTTCCGGTTCTCAGTTGCACAGGGAGACACTCTGAGCAGATGCACTTGGTTTCCGCTAGGGTTGTCCTTAAAACCCTCCTGGAGTCCTTGCTCCAGGCTGTACCGCTGCAAGCACAGCTGATCCTGCAGGTGGCCTGGGCGCCGCCTCATTCCCTACTGCCTCAGGACCCATCTTCCCTCTTGCTGATTTTCTCACGGTTCTGGAGCACTAGGACTCTCCGGGAACATCAGGACATTTAGTGCCCCCTGTTCCCCGGGGGAGGGAGCATGGAGACACCTTCTGAGCTCCGTGCCCTGGGAAGCCCTGAGTAACAGATGCGCAGGAGGGGCTAACAGACTAGTGGGGAGGCCATGCTGGGGCCCCCTGCCTCAGGACAGCTGGAGCAGCTGGAGGGGTGCATGTCATTATTCCTCTGGAAGACATCTTGGAGCCAGCAGAGGCCACCTTGGCCTGACAGACTGCAGGCTTCAGAGACGAATGTACGAGTGGAGGCTGAAGTCCCCGCTCACTCTCCTTTCAGAATGTGCTGTGCAGATGGGAGCTACAGCCACCAATCCAGGCCTCTGCTGTACCCAGCAAGCTAGGGATAGGAAAGAGGGGGGATTGTACAGAAAGGCAGAGGGTCCTGGGAAGGAGCCGCTGGGGCTCAGAGGACCGCAGCCGTCACCGCGTTCTGCAGAAGTGGCCCTCCATCTGGATAAGTGTGAGAGGCCGCCTGCTCCCACCCCTCCCACCTCATCCATCTTGTCTGCGTTATGGGACCAGAAGGGACTAGGAAAACAGAAACTTTCTGATGGTGACCATGACCTGCACCCCAAATGTACACTGCAGAAGCTTCAGGGGCAGCAGACGAGCAGGTACACGCTTCTCTGCCCTGTTGTCTTGCTGCAGTTGGTTGGAGTCTGCTCCGAGCCTGGCACCATGCTGCGCACCCCTACCTATTCTCTCATTCAGGCTTCTCTAGTAGCTTCATTTTACTGCTACAGAAACCATGCAAAGAGCTGTGAGGGCCTGGTAAGGTAGGCAGGGCAGCTGCAGGTGCTTGTGTGGGCTTCGTGTGTCCTGAGGCTGCCTGCCAAGAAGGGAAAGAAGAACCCTGGGCAAGTGCTCACTGCGCCTGTCTAGCCAATGCCCTCTTCTGTCTCTCCCAGAAGTGTTCCTGGACTCGCGAGGTCCTGACACCTGGAAGCCAGATGCCCCTGCCTTAATGCGTCCAGCAATAGAAAAGGCAGCACTCAGATCTGGATTCATTCAAAGATTATACTCCTAACCCTTATCACACACTATGGTGCAACACCTTGCCCTTCCATGGATTTCCCTAACTATAACAAGGCACAGACTCTCAGTTCAGCTCTACTTCTCCTGTCTGGTTTTATTTATCGGCTTCTGGCCATTTTTACAGTTCATCCCAATCAGCTTGTTCATTCCCATCCCCAGCTGGCTCAGGGGAAAATCCCACACCGTTCTCTCGGTGGGCAATCACTTCTGTGCCATCACTGATGAGGATGCTATGACCTTGGCTGGCAGTAGGCCCCTGCCCAGCTCCGCTGGAATGAGACCCTGCTGGGCAAGCTTTTTTTTTGCCTCTGCTGCAAGAGCCACTCACTCCCGGTAACTATGTGTTCTGATCTCATTTCTCCAGTTTAGTGAAAGGATGTGTGTGTGTGTGTGCGCGCACTTATTTTTTTATTTGATAGACAGCCCTGATATCCAGCTCACTTCCCATATGCTTGTAATATCCAGGACTGGGATGGGTCAAAACCAGGATCCAGGAACATAATCCAGGTATCCCACGTAGGTGGCAGGAATGCAACTACTTGAGCCATCACCATTGCCCGCCAAGGCCCACATTAGCAGGAAGCTGGAATCAGGAGATGAAGCCAGGAATTAAATCCGATGGAGGTGTGGGCATGTTAACACCCAACCCAAGGTATGCTTTATGCAAAAGCATTCAAAACCATGCAAGGCCAGGAGACTTTACACACCATGCTTCCTCTCTGACCAGCAGGTCTCATACTCAGCCACGACATAATATTAGATTAACCTGGCAGAGTTTATTACCCTCTTCTATGGGCCAATACCCTATTTTCATTACAGTGTTTACAAATTGTAAAAGTCACTTAGTCCTGTGTCAGGATTTATATGGGACTCCCTAGATGTGTCCTCCCATGGGAGGACTTTGTGACTGTCATTTACTCTGATTCTTAGGCATCGCCCAACTCCCAGCGATGGTCCCGAAGAGTTCTTCACCTGGGATAATCTAGATTATAACTTCCTGAGAGCAGCCCCCAAAATGCATCCAAGAGAGCCAAGTAGAATTCCTTCTCCAAGGGTGTTTTTGAAAGGGTGGACGCCGTCCTCTCTGTTTGGGAGGAGTGAGTGCTTGCTGTGCCTGAACGGCAAGAGGCTGAGCAAGGTGGCCCTTCCAGGGGCCTGCCAGTGAGTCGGATTCTCCAGCTTCTGCCAGGCACATGGGCCTTGGTCGAAGGACTTGCAAGTGGAAGAACAGACAGCTGAGAACTCCCATCAGACACATAACCCACAGCATAAATACCATACGTCTTGAGGCTCCTGCCTGTCAAATCCATCTTTCCCCGGCCCTGGTGAGTGGAGAAAGGCTGGTGGTGATTTCTGCAGACTTAAAGACTTCCTGCATCATTCCCTGACTTGAGGCATCTCTGTTGATGATAAAAGGGGAAATCGCGGTCCCCAGCAAAGCACAGCTGGCCCTGCGGCCCGGCGCTGCCTCTTGCAGCCATCCCCATGATTCTCCACCTCTGCACTTCTGCACACGCCGGCAGGCAGGGAGAAGCTGCTTGGTGCCAAGAGAGCCATTTTTCTTAAAGTCAGAGGACCTGCCTTCATCTAGAAAGATAAATTCAGAGAGGCCAAGCCCAGAGAAGGAAGACACGGGCAGCCAAAGCAGCACAAAAGGAACAGGAGATGGCCACCCTTCCCCACGGGCAGCCAGAGAGGAAGGGGAGAGGAGGACTCCCTCCTGGTGCATCGGACACAGCAGGGGAACGAGCTGCAGCACTGGGCGTTGCTGCCTCGCAGGCACTGTGAAAGCTGCCAGGAAGCGTGGAGACTCATCTTGTCAAAAAAGGACAACAGTGAGCGAGCTGATGCGTTCCACTAATAGTGTGTGAGTGCATCCCTTCAGACAGAATCGGCAGGCACTGTGGCACAAGGGGGTTAAGCCTTCTCTTCAGACGCCAGCATCACCTGTGTGAGTTCTGGTTCCAGCCCTGGCTGCTCCACTTCCCATCCAGCTCCCTGCTGATAGGGCACCCTGGGAAGCAGCAGATGATGGCTCAAGTACTTGGGTCACTGTCACCCATGTGGGAGACTCAGATGGAGTTCCTGGCTCCCGGCTTCCACGTGACCCAGCCCTGGCTGTTGAGTGTATTTGAGGAGTGAAACAGTGAAGGGAAACTCTCTCTCTCTTTCTCTCTCTTTCTTTTCTTGTCACCCTGCCTTGCAAGTAGATGAAAAATAAACATTTGGAAAAAAAAAAAAAAAAACTGGGGAAGGGACTTTAAGGGGCTGTTGCTATCCCAGGGTTGACTGCCAGGCACCTAAGCAAACAGAATGAAATGGCTTAGCCAGTCATCTGGGCACTGCCAGCTAACCAGCCCCCCCACCGGCTCCTCACTGCATGTGGGGGTGTTGGGGTGACTGTGATGAGACACAGCAAAGATGGGAGAGGCCCGTGCTAGGAATGTGGGAGTCAGAATCCTTGGCTTCTTTCCAAATGGAAAATAATTAAGTTTGTCCTTCAGTGTCCACTGCCATCTGGAAGGGACCCTTACCTGACCAAAACAGGGACACGTTACTGGCTGGGGAAGGTGGTGGTAGAGGCAGTGAGGGAAATGAGAAAGGGGACAACAGGAGGAAGCAGAAGACAAGTCCCAAGTGATGACTCGGGGATAGCCACAATACCTCCCTTGCTGTGGGTCAGTGAGGTGGGGGCTGGGGCTCTTAATAGGTACTTAACATCCGCTGGATCTCTTGGCTTAAAAAAAAAAAAGCTTGGATATCCAGGACTGGTTTTTCCAAATTGTGTGGCGCCATCTTGCAATCATCACCTGCTTTGTTCATCAGTTTAGGATCTCGGGGCTCTCGCCAGTAGTAGTGAAGAAAGGAGCCTGAATGCTCAGATGGACCAATGGCTTGCATTTATATTGGGGGGCGAGGATGACAAGGTCAGTAGGAGTGATTTCCTGTCTCTCCCTACCTCTCCCCCTACCCATTTCCTCTAGGGGTGTGTCTGACCCTGCCCACTGTGGCTGAGCTGCCCACTTCCATGTCTTCTCTTCCCTTTCTCAGCTCATGATGACTGGGGCTTGGTTGGGTCAAAGCCAGGAGCTGAGAACATATTCCATGTCTCCCGGTGGGTGGTAGGAATCCAGTTACCTGAGCCATCACTGCTGCTTTCCCGGGGTCTGCATTCACAGGAAGCTGGAGCCAGGAGCCAGAACCAGCCACGGAACCCAGGCACTCCAGTGAGGGCCTCAGGCATCCCTGCTGGTGTTCTAACCTCCAGCGCCACCCCGAGCCCAAAGCTTTTGGGAGAGAGAACGTGCACCAGGAGAGCGAAGTCTCTGGGGAGCTCCCAATTCTCCTTCCCTCTGTCAATACACCTTCTCCCTTAACTAATGAACACCCTTGAATGTTTACCTACAGGCACTCAACCCCCCTGCTCTTCTTACTGCCCAGAGGTGGCCACTCACCTGGCACCAGGGACATTTGCTCTCTGGTTTAGCGCTTTACTGATTTGCCTGGCCTTGGGAATGCTTCCAAACCTTGTTGATCAGATTGTTTTCCCCAACACCGCCCATTCTTCAGTCCCGGATGACTGCACATTTGCCTTTCTTTCCTGTTTCTGATGGCTCCAATTCTGTGTCCTCCGTGTGGGCACTGGGATTGAAGTCCAGCTGGAGTCCCGGCAGTGTTGCCATTACAGCGTATGAATAGGCTGTACTCATTCTGTAGCAGAAAAAAATCCAAATGGCCTGTCTCAAACTCAGTTACACACAGTTGGGAAGAAGCATCACCAAGGAGAATGAGTCGGCTCATGCTGGCCCACGTGTCTGCACCTAGCGCACCTGTGCTCACCGGGCTGCCTTAAAGACTGCATTTGGAACTGGAGGTTGACGCTAGAGGAAACCCTACTGTGAGCACTTGAGGCGTGTTGTGCTCAACTTTAAATTTATTTCCCTTTGTACAGTCGTTCCGGGCATCGTATGTTTGCTGAGGTCACGAGAACTCGACGTAGGCATACATCCAGGGCTTACATCCATAGACGTGCATACATCCATGGTAACTGGAGGCCTTTTTTTGTTTGTTTCTTGTTGTTGTTTTTTTTTTTTTAAGATTTATTTATTTACTTGAACGTCAGAGTTACTCAGAGGGAAAAGGAGTGGCAAAGAGAGAGAGAGAGGGGTCCTCTACCCACTGGTTCACTCCCCAATTGGCCACAACAGCTGGAGCTGTGCCAATCCAAAGCCAAGAACCAGGAGCTTCCTCTGGGTCTCCCATGCGAGTGCAGGGGCCTAAGGACTTGGGCCATCCTCTACTGCTTTCCCAGGCCATAGCAGAGAGCTGGATCGGAAGTGGAGCGTCCGGCACGCATATGGGATGCCAGCACTGTAGGCGGCGACTTTACCCACTAAGCCACATCGCCGGCCCCACTGTAGGCCTTTGTTTACTCTTTTTTTTTTTTTTTTTTGACAGGCAGAGTGGACAGTGAGAGAGAGAGAGACAGAGAGAAAGGTCTTCCCTTGCCGTTGGTTCACCCTCCAATGGCCACCACAGCCGGCGCGCTGCGGCCCATGCACCGCGCTGATCTGGTGGCAGGAGCCAGGAGCCAGGTGCTTTTCCTGGTCTCCCATGGGGTGCAGGGCCCAAGCACCTGGGCCATCCTCCACTGCACTCCCTGGCCACAGCAGAGAGCTGGCCTGGAAGAGGGGCAACCGGGACAGAATCCGGCGCCCGGACCGGGACTAGAACCCGGTGTGCCAGCGCCGCAAGGCGGAGGATTAGCCTAGTGAGCCGCGGCGCCGGCCGGCCTTTGTTTACTCTTACCGGCTCACGCAACAGGAGCTGGACCTGGAACTTGAAAGTCCTGATTTCCTTTCCTAAACTAACTTGGCTTCACGAAGAGTCTGTCAGAGAAGGCCGTGCAGTCCATGTGTTCACATCCGCACCGGGAGTTTGACTTTGTTTTCCTTAAGAAGTAAAGAAGTCAACAGATCAACACAAGAATGAGGAATTATATCAAGACGTTTGGGAGCAGGTTCCTGTAGTACATACTTTTGAAGTTAGTTTTATAGAGGTATCATTTAGGTTGTGTGAGTTTTGTCTTTTGTGAGGGTTTTTAGTGTGTATCCTTCTAAAACTGTTCCATTGTAGTAAAATTCACATAACTAAAATTTACCACTTAACTGTTTCTAATGTACCATTCAGTAGTGTTAAGTACATGCATATAGTTGTATTGCAATCTGCAGAATTCTTTCTGTCTTACAAAATGGAAACTCTATACCCGGTAAACAATGGCACCTTTCTCCCTCCCTTCAGTCCCTGGTAACCATTGTTCTTCCTTCTTTATGAATTTGATTACTCTAGGTACCTCATATAGGATTACACAGTATTTTTCTTTTTGTAAATTACTTGATTTGCTTAGCATAGTGTCCTCAAAGTTCTTCCGTGTGTCAGATTTCCCTCCTCTTTATGAATTTATTTTCATTTTGTTTGAAAGAGAGAGAGAGAGATCTTCCAGTCCATTGGTTCACTTCCCCAAATGCCCACAGCAACCAGGGCTGGGAGAGGCTGAAGCCAGGAGTCCAGCACTCAATTCAGGTTTCCTGTGTGGGAGAAACTCAGGCATCTGAGCCACTGCCTCCCAGGGTACGCATTAGCAGGAAACTGGGTGGGAAGTGGAGGAGCCAGGGTCTGAATCAGGCGCTCCAGTATGGGATGTGGACGTCCCAAACAGCATCTTAACAGATGTGCAAAACACATATGCTTCCTCCTTCTTAAGGCTGAATAATACCGAGTTTTGTTCATCCATTCATCTGTTGATGGACACTTGGGTGGCTCCCACCTTCTGGCTGTTGCAGATATTGCTGCTATGAACATGAGTGTATAAGTACCTCTTTGAGATCCTGGTTACTGTAACTTGTGTTTTTCTTTTAACTGAATGAAGGCATGCACCTAGAAGAATTCCTTATCCCAGCACTGCAGGGTTGGTTTGTTTTTTCATTTTGAAAAAAATCGGGAATGCAGCAATGATTTTTGCCGGGTGATATCTGCACAGCTGCTTAATGTACTCACTCATCAGGGGCTTCAGCCGTCCGTGAGAGCTGCCATCAGATAGAAAGCAGAAGTTTTCAGCTCTGTCTCAGTGACTGAGATGCTCTGAGCAGGGACAAAATGGCCAGTGACACTGGGTCTTGGTCCATTTTCTGATGCTATAACTGAATACTTGAGACTGGGTGACTGATAAAGACAGGTTTATGTGGTTTATGGTCCTGGAGTGTGGGAGGCCTAAGAACGTGGTGCTGGCCCCTGGTTAGGCCTTCTTGGTGCATCCTGATGCATCAGAGGGCATCCCATTGTGAGGTAAAGTGAGCTGCAAACTAGCTCGGACACTGTTTCTCATCTTAGAAACCTGCTAGTCCCCTCCCTCAGGCCCTCATGTAATCCCAGCTAGTTCCCAAGGGCCCCACTTTCAGATCCCATCGACATATGAAATGTAGGACCAAGTTTCTAAGACTCGAACTTTTGGGGGGACACATGCCAAATGTAGCCAAGATGTATTACTCAAACCATTCCAGCTTCCCCTCCGATGGGACATTGCACACCCCCAACCCCCAGGGCAAGAAGCTCATGGCATCCCCACACACTCTGCTCCACACCACGTGCCCTTCTCCCTGCAAAGATCTGTAGCTAACATCTGTGATCAAAGTCAGAAGAGGGACAGGGGCTGTCGGGGAGAGGACTGAAATCATTTCATGAACAAGTTGATCAGAGAAGCAATGCGTGAATGAGTCTTAGCCTGCCCAGTGGGTGATGAGAGCCCTCCCCAGCTAATCCCCGCACTCCTACCCCCTGCCTCCATCATTCGGTGCTCTGAGAGCTAAGTTGGTTCCTCTCAGCTCCGAGACGATTGGGGAGCTAAAAGGTTAGCAGTCTAGCCTCACACCAGGAGGAATGGGACTCTGGTACAGGGAGTGAAGCAAAGTTTATTCACTTCCACATTTCAGCAGGAGACAGTCACACACAGGCCCATGCTCAGGGCCCTCCAGGCTTGCAGAGCCGCAGAAATCAAGTGCGCGTCGGCCACACGACGGCCTAGCAGGGAAGTGGGACTAAGGTGACAGGTTCTAAAGCGTGAATGCACACCTCTGTGCTCTGCCTCCTTAAAATTCATCCTCTCACCTGCCAGCCCTGAGAACTGCCTATTTACATCTCGAGCTGCCTAAAATGGAATAGGGGATCATGTTACATGGCGGCTCACTCGGTGTGAGCCCGGCCCCCAGAAGTGAGCCTGATCCACAAGCCTTCTGCAGGCGCTGGCCTGAAGCCACTGCTGCTGCCGCTGCTGCCCCCGCCACGGGGTATACCCCGTCAGTGCTGCAGAGCTCAGCAGCTGTCAGGCCAGGTGGGGACTGGGCACAGGGGGAGGGGCATGAGTCAGCAGCAGCGCCTCCCAGCTCCCCAGCAGGTGCCTTGTTCTGCCCAAGGTGCCGTGTTGAAGGCGGCCAGCACGCAGGGCCTGCTTGAGAGCCGGCCTCGCAGGAGCCTTGGGGAGGGAGGCCATCAGTCGGCTCTGATGCTATCCCTGGTGCTGCGCCAGCTTCGCACCCCCTGTCGGTCCCTTCCAAGGCACAAATCTCTCTCCCATCAAAACTGGAATCCTGCTGCTCCCTTATAGGAAGAGTATAAATAAGTGATAAGGAAGTGTTCAGATAACGATAAGCGGGTATAACTCCTCAGCGGACCAGATGTATCAAAGAAGGCGATTGTGTGTGTTCATTTATTTTTCAGCGTTCCGGTTCCTGTAGTCAGTTTAGAGAAAATTCCTAACCTAGTGAAGGCAGACGGTGCCAATGTCAAAATGAACTCTACAACCACTACTGCGGTCACCTCCGCCTCCTCCTCCTCCTCCTCTGCTGCCATCTCCACCCCACCTTTAATTAAGCCCATCTTGATGTCCAAGTCAGTGCCACCTTCGCCAGAGAAGATCTTAAATGGCAAAGGAATTCTATCAGCCGCCATAGACAAGAAACACCAAAATGGCACCAAAAACAGCAGCAAGCCCTACAGGAGACTTTCAGGTACGTGTCAGTGTCCTCAGAGCCTGGCCCGTGAGTGGACTGAAAGTGAGTCCCATCTGCAACCCGAGGGTGACGTGTTCTTACAATTCAGCAGCTCTGTTTCATGTTAAGAGGGACACGGGGTCTCCCTGCAAACAGGCCATCCACCCAAGTAAACCCCAAGGGAGAACTCAGGCTCCCATTCGTGGGGCCTCTTGTGAGGGTTACCATGGTGACCAGGAGGCAGGGAGCCCTGCCATTGTGTGGATTCCTGGGGTGTTGTCAGCAGGTGGTCCTGTGTAGCCATACTGTGTTGACTTGCTCAACTGCCATGATTGACGGGGATGGCCCCTAGGAACATCCCACAGCAGCTCAGGGCCTGCAGGCGCAGCCCCATCAGCGATCCTGCTGCCTGGGAAGACACTGCCTGGGGCCTTTGACTCTGTAGGTTTCCAGGCAGTTGACAGTTGGAACTGCAACTGACTCTCCTGCAAAACCAGGTTGGAATTCCCGGTGAAGACGTGGGCGGGCCCGCATGCTGATAGGCTGGGAGGAAGGCCCTGGGCTTGCCCCTTGACTGTCTGAGTGGGCCTGTGGCCATTCCTGGAGGTGACAGCTGGTCTGTTGGCAACCTTGTGAGGATGGTGTTTGCTCTTGAACTGCTGTGGAACTCTGGCAGTGCTGCTTTCTCAAAGCACAGGAAAGGCTGCGAACTCCTGATCTCTTCACACACGCGGGGCGCTATCTCACAGTGAAAGCCACCTTATGTGAGAAAAACCACCTTCAGGTTGTGAGCGTAATGTTCAAGTGCCCAGGGTATTGTGTGTAATTTTTATTTTCTTCTTCACATGTATCCATTTGTAGTTTTTTTAAATCTCACATCTGTAATTCTTTTTAAAAATGTGTGTCCTAAAAGTACCTCAGGCCCAAAGCATTCCAATGAAACAGTTATTATACCCTGCCAGTCCCACCATGTACTGCTCACCCACTGTCACGGGAGAAAGGGAGAGTCCAGGGCTCTCTATGAGTGTTGGGGGGCCTTACTTTGTGGGCTGGAGCCCCCAATCCCTGACTGTCTTCCTGGATGGAACGGGGCCCAGACAGGAGTTGAGGATGGAGAGAGGACAACGTCCCTGGGGAAACCAGCAGGCCTGGGCACAGTGTCCAGAGCACGAGGTGCTTGTGGTAGCAGAAGTGTGACCTTGGCTTCCAGCCTGCATCCCACAGTGAAACTGTTTGTGTGGGTTTTTTTTTGTTTGTTTTTTTGCAGGTTATAGTTTCTGAGTTGTATAGGTTGTCTTGTTGCACTGGAGGTCTGTTGCTTGCTCTCCTACTTGGCTTTCACATTTGACAGTTGGCTCCTGCCTCCAGCCAACAGGCTGCTCATCTGCAGGCCACCCTGAGGTGCTAGTGTGAAATGGGCCCTGGGTCTGATTGGCGAAAGAACTCTACACCAGGCAGCCTGGGGCCTGGCACCCATGCACTTACTTCTTGCTGGTCAGAGAGGGCTTATGGGAAGTAAACCTCTCCAGGCCTAGCAGTGTTCTTTACTTAAAAGCAAAGCTAGAAGCCGGCGCCGTGGCTCAATAGGCTAATCCTCCACCTTGCGGTGCCGGCACACCGGGTTCTAGTCCCGGTCAGGGCGCCGGATTCTGTCCCGGTTGCCCCTCTTCCAGGCCAGCTCTCTGCTATGGCCAGGGAGTGCAGTGGAGGATGGCCCAGGTGCTTGGGCCCTGCACCCCATGGGAGACCAGGAAAAGCACCTGGCTCCTGGCTCCTGCCAGGATCAGCACGGTGCGCCGGCTGCAGCGGCGGCCATTGGAGGGTGAACCAACGGCAAAGGAAGACCTTTCTCTCTCTGTCTCTCTCTCTCACTGTCCACTCTGCCTGTCCAAATTTTAAACTACCAGTAAAAATATTAAATGCAAAGCTAGAAAGAAAAAAAAGAAGCAGCCAAAAGCGAAAAAGGGAGGGGGTATTTTCACAGCCCACCGGGGAATCGGTCTGGGATATGAGACTGGTTTTCCTGCGCACACACCAGCATCACCACCACTTTAACCTCCTTCCTAAACATTCCTTTGAAAACAGAACACACGCGTCAGTTCTGCTGAGCGTCTACCCCCCTGTTCCAGACACTTTGCCAGCCAAGTATCCTCTTGTTCGTTTGTAACCATTCAGAGCCCTTCAGGACACTGCTCCAAGTTTCTGCACCCCCACCACCCCAGGCCCGCCTTGCTGGGTGCTTTCTAGAGACACCAAGGGCATCTAAGAGCTGCAACTGTGCAGCCTAAAGGTCTCAGGCCCTCATTGTTCTCATAGGGAGAGCATTTTTCTCATCCTGTCATCACAGGGGCGGGAAAGATATGCACATGAGTGTTAAAAAAAAAAAAAAGAAAAGAAAAAAAAGATTCCTTAGAAGTAAGGGCCTCCCCAACCAAGGCAGGATCTGGGGGAAGCCAGGCCTCCCCAGAGGCCATCCTTCCTCCCCAGGGGCCTGCCTGTCCTGACTCCCCTGTGGAGCATCAGGCCCAGGGCTGGGGGCACGGCCAGCTGTGAGAGTTAGCAGCCCCCACCCCCACCTCCACCCCCACCCCCGCACCTGCACCTGCAAGTTCAGCTCCACAAAGGCACATACCCAGACATCTGCCCTGCCCCTCCCGTGGCACTGCTTGAATGTTCCTGAATCAGGTAAATGATTTTTTCCGGTCAGCGAGGCTGTGTGGAGAGCCTGTGCTGAGGGCTTTGTGAAGCGTGAGAGAGTCAGGTCACACTGACATGTCAGAGGATAATCTCCCACTTAAATGGCTCAAACTAGCAGGAAGGCAGGCTGGAGGCAGGGGCATGTGCACCCTCCCAGCAGCTCTCTCCTCTCCGCGGGCTCTCCCGGCTCGGCAGCCAGCTGTGCCCACAGTGCCAAGGACCTGGGACCCATACAAGTAAATACAGCCTGAAGAGCAGCACGACTTCTTCCCTCGGGGGCCCACTCCTGCCCTGTTCCCCTGTGCCCCATGCTGGACTTGAGTTCAAGAGGAGCACCAATTCCCCCCACCCCCACCACCAAAGCGGTTCACAGAGCATTTTAGCAGCCGGTTGTAAAGCAAAAACAACAACAGCGACAAACCAGATTGCCTGACAATGTCTCACTTGTTGGTGCAAATGTGCATTTTTTTTTTAAAAAATGTAGTCTTAATGCCAAAACCTATTTAGTCTCCTTTTTTCTTATATTTTTTGTTTGTTTCTTAAACCAGAGAGAGAATTTGACCCAAATAAACACTGTGGAGTATTGGATCCCGAGACAAAGAAACCTTGCACAAGATCCCTCACCTGCAAGGTATTTCTCTTTCCATAAAAAATACTTCCTGCTCTCGCTGGGGCCTTTGTCGAAATGTTTGCATGCCACTCTCTGCACACTGCAGGGTGTGGAACCTCGACATGACCTCCAGCTGTTCTTTGTAAGGGAAATGCTTTCTTCTCATCCATGGTAGCAGAGTGCCTGCCTTGAGCTGGCTGGCTTTTTAAGAAGGAAAAAAAAAAAAAAAACTAGGCTTCCCCTGTTACTTGTGAGGCCAGACAGTAAATTGTATTTATAGGCACTCACAGGCGGTTCTGAAGCCTGCTACGCTGTAATGTATGCAGGAGCGGCGGCGGCGGCAGCGCCCTGAAAGGCAGCCCCGGAGGGGAGGATGGTCTGCCGCGCCCCTGATCCAGCCACCCGGGGCGGCCGCCATTGGGCAGCCCAGAGCCCCCTATTTCATACTGAGCTGCGAGTGCTTCTTGGGATGGAGGCCGTGGCCCGGTCTCCCTGGTGGCTCTGTTGGTCTGGGCCGAGCGCAGCCTCCCACCTGCACCTGGATTAACTCTGGCATTCCCTCGCGGCTGCCTTTCATCGGAGAAGTCTCCATGGGTTCTTGCTGAAGCTCGTCATCTTATGCCATTCTCTGGAGGCAGCTCTGGCTTCTTAACACCAGGAGTGTAGGGCATGGTTGCGTTCGTGCGGTCTCTGCCTCTTCCCAGCCACAGAACAGGAGCTGCTGCCTTGAAGTTGACTTTCGAAGCACCTCTAAAATTCCCATGAATTGCTATTTCTGAAATGGAGGGCCTGGGGAAGCAGGTTTATGTGCTGATCAAAGAGGCTGTGCTTTTCATCTCTCTTCTCCTTAGACGCACTCGCTAAGCCATCGGAGGGCAGTCCCGGGCCGGAGAAAGCAATTTGACCTCCTCCTGGCGGAACACAAAGCCAAGTCCCGGGAAAAAGAAGTGAAAGATAAAGAGCATCTCCTGACCTCCACACGGGAAATACTCCCCAGCCCATCCGGGCCGGCCCAGGATTCTCTACCAGGATCCTCGGGGAGCTCCGGGCCAGAACCGAAAGTCGCGTCCCCTGCGAAATCGAGGCCACCTAACTCTGTCCTTCCCAGGTGAGTTCTACCTCAGCGGGCGAAGCCACGCGTCCGCCACCCGGTGGCTTTCCCTCGTTCCGTCTGTGGTGTGCGGGCCGATCGTGTGTTACGTGGAAGTCATAATAGTCCTGGTGGTTGGAAAGTTTCAATGAGACCGTGTGCGTAAGGGGCCCGGCCCAGCGCCTGCCACTTAGCGTTTTCCTGACTTGACAGCCAGTTTCACTGCTGTCACCACCACCATGGCTGTCATCATCATTACCATCAGCCGCGGCACTGTCATAGCAGGCCTCGTATTAGACGAGCGTGTGTTTCAACAGAGCAAGAGTGAGCTGGAAAGAAGTTCCTGGAAGGGTGACACATCACCCACCAGACAACTTCCTGGTTGCCTGGGTTTTGTGTCCTTGGAGATTGAACAGAGAGGGGAGACCTGGGTAGATGGGTTGTCAGCACGCCTTAGGAGCTCACGGGACCGTGCCAGCCCCTTTGCCACAATATTTTGTGAGTTTTTTTCCACCATCAGGGTGAAGGGCAGATTGGCTGGGCAGAGGCTATTTTTGTTCTTACCTGAAGCTGTTCTTCAGAGCCACCTGTTTGGGGTTTTGTGTGGTTGTCCCGGACCAAAAGGAAAAAACAGAATGAAAACCCATTTGCATGAAGAGAAATTTAAAATCCTTGTTTGTGTGGGGTTTTTAAATTTATTTAATTTGAAAGAGAGACAGTGACAGAGAAAGAGAGAGAGAGAGAGAGATCTCTCAACTGGGCCAAGTCGGAGCCAGGAACCAGGAACTCAGTGTAGGTCTCCCACATGGGTGGCAGGGACCCAACTACTTGAGCCATCACCTGCTGCCTCCCAGGGTGCGCATTAGCAGGGTGCTGGCATTGGGAGCAGAGTTAGGACTTGAACCCAGGATCTGTGATATAAGATGTGCATGTTGCAAGTGACATCTTGGCCACTGCACCAAATGCCTGTCCCCATGCATGTCACGCGTGTGTACTTTTACCAGCAGTGAGCCAATTTCCAGGTAATGGGACAGGGAACCAACCATTCATTCAAAAAATATCTACAGAGTGCTTGCTCCGTAAGCAAGTTACCGTGTTAGGGATTCTCAGGCAGGGGTGCAGAGAAGAATGAAATGAGACCTTGCTGTTGAAGAATTTACAGTTTAGAAAATGAGAAGACTCGAATACCAGTAATGTCATCAAAGAAAAGCATTAGCGATAGTCTGGGAGAACTGCAGAGAGTAGTATTATCTGGTGATTGTTTCATGCATCCACCGTGAGCCTCCCAGGGTAATTGTCCGGGTAGCAAGGACACTTGAAGAGAACATGGTTATTAAAGAAGAGGGGAGTTGATTTTTAGAATCAAGTATTTGTGGGCAGTGGTTCCTGCTCTGCCTGGTTCCCACCCTCATGTGCCTTGCGCTTTGGCGCAAGCCTGACTCAGCCTGACAGCCAGAGTCCTGTGCGGCTTGAGCTGAGCTCAGCGTCAGGCCTTCAGGAGGGCACGGTCAGACAGAACTGCCACCCGGGCCTTTCCATCATCATTCCCATCCCTCACCTGGCAAGATAGTGCAGACGGACTTCTCGCCGTAACCCTGGGTGTTAGGTGAGCCTAACTCCCCGTGTTCTGAAGCTGAGGGCACAGTTTTACTCCAGGCTTCTGGGAGGAGCTTCCATTCTAGGCACATCAGCTTTCTAAACCCCGTTGTAGCCGTCCACGTTTTCATTCCAGCACAACCTTCTCTGGTACCTGGTAGAAGAGTAGACTTGCCTCCACCTGCAGGTAACAGCCCTTCCCTCATCACCGGCATGCACCCAGATCCACGTGTCCCGTGACCCGCCGCCGCCGCGGGGTTTCCTGGGATCCCCCAGGGAATCTCTGATCGTACGTGTCTGCACTGCTTTCTAGTGGATACAGGCACTTCCCACCCAGGCAGCGGTACCTGGCTCAATAGCAGTTAAAAAATGCACCAAGCCGTGTGGGGCGTTAGTTAGGATCGCCTTTCTTATGCTCCCCTTTGGTGTAATTTTCAGGGGAATGTGTGTCTGTCGAGAAATAAGTGCCAGGTGTTTAGTTCCCTTAGGGAAGCAGAAGAAAGGAGAAGTGAGGTTGGTCAGGAAAGGGTTCTTTGGAAAGGCACTGGGGGAGGGGGATGCAGGGGCACGCGACACATGTCGATGACAGAATCATCTTCCAGGGCGATTTCCTGTTGGGGTGGGCTCCAGAGACCTAGGGGGCAAGTTCACTTCCAGAGTTAATGGGGAGAACCCTACCTTTGGATGAGATCCCCGCAGAGACTGAAACAGTGTGAGCACAGGTTAATGTCACAATCACACAAAACTTAGGAAAAAAATTATTTTCTCATTTTAATGATATGAAAGAGTACTTCAAAACATTCATGGAAAAACTGAATTGAGATAAGTTTATGTTTGTATAATTTTTTTCTGAAATCTATGCAGTTTTTTTCATAATACACACTTTTTTCACGAGCTGTTTGAAAACCCTCCATATTTAACAGCTATTTCGTCTACACGAATGATCTAAAATTGCAGGCAGGTGTGGCACAGAGAGTTAAGCTGCCACTTGGGAGCCCTTGTCTCATATCAGAGTGCCAGTTCAAGCCCCAGCTACTCTGCATTTCCAATCCAGCTTCCTGCTGATGCGTCGAGAGGTAGCACATGATGACAGCACAAGTACTGGTCCCTGCCACCCCCGTGGAAAACCCAGATGGAGTGTTCAAGCTCCTGGCTTGAACCTGGCCTGTCCCTAGCTGTTGAGGCATTTGGAGAGTGAACAAGCGCATGAAAGCACTGTCTCTTTCTCTCTCTCTTACTCTGCCTTTCAAATAAATAAATAAATAAGTCTTTTAAAAGATGATCTATAATTCGTTCCAAAAGAGGTAAGTGTTTGACACAGAAGTTACGATGCCAGTTGGGAACATCTGCACCCCATATGGGAGTACCTGGGTTCAAGTCCCAGCTCCGCTCCCAATGCTGGCTTCCTGCTAATGCATACCCTAGGAAGAAGCAGGTGTTGACTCAAATACTTGGGCCCCTGCCACCATGTGGGAGACCGGGATTGAATTCCTAGTTCCTTGCCAGTGCCTGCTATTATAGGCACTTGGGGAGTGAACCAGTGGATGGGATCTCTTTGTCTCTCTACCTTTCAAATAAATAAAGTAAAATACATGAAATTAAAAATAATAATAATTGGCAATAATATATCCGTCACACATGAATAGAGTTATCATAATCCTTTCCCAGTTCTGAATTTCCATTATAAGAAATGTTAACATGTATGAATTTATTTCTTTACATATCTTTTTCATAACCTTGAAAATCCTTCAGTTCTATTCTTGAATTGCACCTCATTCTCCTCAGAGATTGCTAAAAAAAAAAAAAAAATGGAGCTTGGATCTAGAATTAGGAAAGTTAAAGTTTGCCACAGGGTTGGAGCAGGATTTGAGCTGGGTCTCTCCACGCCATGCTTAGTAACCAGGCAAGCGTGGTCACAGTCCTTTGCCTGCGTAGCCTCAGTTTGCTCATCTGTGAAATGGAGCCCGTGACAGCTCAGTGACAGCACCGAGCCCTTAACCAGCACTCAGCGCAGGGCAGCTGTTAGTCATTCGTGGCACTAGTCCCTAGGAAAACCATGGGAACAAGTGAGGGCCCTGGTGCCCCTGCCCCCTGTATACCCCCTCCAGGCCTCTGTCCCCAGCCTGAGCGCCCTTGAACAATGCACCTGTGTGCTCCTTGTCTTTGTCCCCAACTCAAAGCAAGCACATTTCTTACCCCCAGGAGCCTAAGGGCTGTGAGTAGCTAAGCCAGCCACGCCCATCAGGACCCTGTTGCAGAGGGTGAGGAGCACTCTGACCAACTGGGCTGTGGCCCCTGGAAGGACAGGGGAAGGGTACACCGTGTACCAAAGAGGCCTGGGCACACTCCCCTCTGCCTCCTCGACACTCACTTCCAGTCAAATGGCTAAGAAGGCAAAACCCGACGAGCCCTAGACTGCCAAGCGCAGTACAGAGAGAGGCCAGAGCTCCGGTCTCCTGAGAAGAGGCAGGATGCGTGTGGAGCGAGAGCAGCCTGGGCCCCTCCCTCCTCTGAACCGCGCTCATGCCGCCTGCAGCTCTTCCTCTCCCTGCACTGCCTCTGTGTCCATTGCTCAGTCTGGGTGGCCTTCAGGTTGTGCAGACAGGCACAGAGCTGTCTCAGTTCTTATTGGCTTGGCTGCCGTTTTCCTCATCTGGGAAAGGTCACTCATCATGTCCCGATCCCAGGGCCGTCGGCAGCTGGGGTGAGAAAATGCCCATGAAGTGACGGGCACATAGTGGGGACTCAGGTAAGGTCAAGGCCTTCCGCTCTCCCCCCAGAGCACTTGAACAGATGTGCCTCCTCCTCATGCTGGGGCGGGGCTCTCTGGAGCTTTCCTGGAGTTGAACTAGACAGGGACCTGTCTGTCAGCAGATACTTTGTCTTCAGATCAGACTGGCAAATAGAGAGGGGATGGGTGATTAGCACTGGGAGGTGGGGGAAGACATGTGGATGGCAGCTAAACAGACAGGAGCAACTCCGTCAGCCTTCTCTCCTCGCCCAGGCCTTGTTTTTTTCCTGAAACACAGGCTGGCTCCCATGAACTCTGGTCCACCAGTGCCACCCTGCCTGGAGCTCAGCAGTCAGGGCTGGAAGCATCCAGCAGGCCATCATCTCCCGGAGGCTGTGCACAACCTCAGGGAAGCCTGCCTGGAAAGCCTGGAGCTCTCTCTGTGCGGGTGCACACACACATATGTACACGCAAACGTGCATACTGGCCCCTCTTCCTGTTGTCCTTGGTGCCTAGAGTCAGTGCTAGGCTGCAGCACACCCACCTCCATGCCCAGCCCTACTCCCCAGGAATCTTCTCCACTCACCTCCTGCCATCTTTTCTCTGGCAGCTGGGACTTAACTCTTGAGTGTTTCTTTTCTTTTTTCTCAGGATTTATTTATTTGAAAGACAGAATCATAGAGATAGGGAA